CTTGGCTGGATGCTAACTGTCCAGAAACGGTGGCATTGTCTCAGTTAAGACTGACGACGTCACTGCAGATTTCACGTTGGGTTCTGTCCACGTTCACTTCTGCTGCGGAGTGTTTAGCCCAGCACATCAGCACAGCACGTGTCTGTCACCTGGCTGCCACGCTGATCTCTGACGGGCTGGGGATTTTCCACCTACAGCCCCGTTGTTTCAGGTCTCAGCTGAGGATGAAGTGAAAGCTTCAGTTTCCTTCCTCTTGTGGCCAAATGTCAGACATACCTTACTTTTGCAGTGTTTTTATGGAGCCATTTCTTGTGCCTTACAGAAAGGTAAGCTTCAAAAATCATTGAATCATAAAAGTGGCAGAACTAGAAAGAACATTAGCAATTGTTTACTTCAGATTAGTAAACAGCCTCAGAGAGGTTAAGTGACTTAACACACAACAAGTAAATAACAAATCCCTGTCAGAACTCTGGCCTCCTGTCTGTTATCCAATTCTCTTTCTGTGGTGTCGCTATATAGAATATTTCTTGGAAGGATCTGAAATGCAATGGAAGTTACATAGTCTTTGCTAAACATCATTTGAAAATAAAACTCAATTGGTATAGGCAGCGTGTCCAAAACCATGCCATTACCAAGACCTGCCTCTGGGGGCAGAGGCTACATTCAGGCGGTGCTCATGGGCTGCATGTTTGTGTCCCCCAGGTCCATGTACTGAACGTGACCCCCAGCGCGACCGTGTCAGTAGGTGGGGTTGGGGAGGCGATTAGGTTACGAGGGTGGGGTCCTCATGAATGGGGTCAGTGTGTCTTTAAAGGAGACCCCAGAGCGCTCCTGCACTCCTTTCTCCATGTGAGGACACAGTGAGAAGACAGCGTCCGCAGCTCAGAGGAGAGTTTTCAGTGGAGCCTGGCCGCGCTGGCCCTGTGATCTCGGACTTGCAGCTTCCCAAACTGGGAGGAATAAGTTTCTGTTGTTCATAAGCCACCCGGTCTGTGGTACTTTGTTATTGCAGCCTAAGTGGACTAAGACAGGTATCTAGAATATTATGAAATAAATATAATTTAAATCTTCATGTAAGTGTGCTCCCAAGGCAAATGGTGTTGAAGGATGTTGGTGCGTGTTAAGCCTCCTGTGCCTGTAGTCCATGCGTTTTAAAATAGAGATGTGTGGGCACAGGGGCTGCCCATGGGACTGAGTTTCCCTGGACGTTGTTATGAGTATTTTGCTTTGTGTGTCCACAGAAATGAGTCTGTGTTATTGCTGCTATTTCACTTTAATTGGGAGATTAAAATAACATTTCCCCAAATTTGTATACATCCTGCAGATGATATAGGAAGTTATTTTAGGTGATATCCCAACAAATACTTTTTTTAAATATCTGTGTACTTATTTCATATATTAAAGTATATTATAAAAGGCATATTCGATAAGTAACTGGTAACCAAAATATACAAGTTAAAACTCAATAAGAAAACAACCCCATTTAAAAAATAGGCGAAGGTCTGAATAGTCGCCTCACCAAAGATGTACAGATGGCAAATGAGGCTATGAAAAGGTGCTCCACGTCATGTCATCAGGGGAATGCAAATGCAAACAACGAGATACCATTACACACCTACTATTACAAGAATGGCTGGAATCCGAACGCTGACAACAGCAAATGCTGACGAAGACGTGGAGCAGCAGGAACTCTCGTTCACGGCTTGAGGGAGCGCCGCATGGCACAGCCGCTTTGGAAGGCAGTTTGCAGTTTGTTATAAAACTGAACGGTCCAGCAACCACACTCCTTGGTGTTTACCCAGAGGAGCTGAAAACTTGTCCACGCGAGAACCTGCACATAGATGTTTATAGCAGTAACTACCAACAACTGGAAGGAACAAAGATGTCCTTCAGTAGGCGATGGATAAATAAACTATGGTACATCTAGGCAATGGAATATCATTCAGTGCTAAAAAAAAAATGAACTATCAAGGCATAAAGACATGGAGGAACCTTAAAAGCATATTGTTTAGTGAAAGAAGCCAACCTGAAAAGGCCACTTACTGTATGATTTCGGCTACCTGACATTCTGGAAAAGGAAAAACTACAGAGACAGTCAAAATAGCAGTGACTGCCAAGGGTTAGGAGGGAAGGGATGAGCAGGTGGAGCACGAAAAATTTGGAGGCAGGGGAATGATCCTCTCTGATGCCGCAACGGCGGATACGGGAAGCGCAACTGTCAAACCCCACAGAATGGACCACAGCAACAGTGAACGGGGGTGCGAAGTGTGGGATTTGGTTATTAACAGTGTATCAATATTGGTTCCTTAAATGTAACATGAACCACACTAATGCACAATATTATTCATAGGAGAAACTGTATTTAGAGGGGAGGGTATTTGGGAACTCTGCCAGCTGCTCCATTTTTGTTAATCTGAAAAAAAAGCTATCAATCAAAAAAGACCCGAGAGTTGTTGCTCAATAAATAGAGGATATTACAAGCATCCAGTGAGTGCCAGTGGCTATGTCAGCCCTGGAGGCCGAGGCTGTGTAATAACAGCAGGAGTCTGCGCCGCTCCTGAGGGAGTGCTGGTGGCACCCCTTGCCACCAGGTGGCGACCCAATACGCAGCTCCCTTTCTCTTCCTCTGAAACACGTCCCTGGGGCTAGTAACCTGAAGAGGGAGCCTCCAGCTCCTGTAGATGAGTGTCACCCCTGCGTGGACTGGCAGCAGCAGCTCAGGGGCACTGGCTCTGGGATGAGCCCGGAGCAGCCTTCTCAGCCTTTGGGGTCTTGGCACCAGTTGAAAACAGTGGTGTTTAGTACTGCAGTGGTACCCGGGGGAAGGTGCGCTGGGGAGAACGAGGTGGCATCATGTCCTCTCTTTATATGTGGCTGCCTCTGTGCAGCCCACCTCCCAGAGCCAGGCGGCTGGAGTCAGCGAGCTGCACGAATGAAGCTGCGCTGGGTTTGCTGGTGAACCCTCCGTGCATTTTCACTTTATTATTACGGCCAGGTGTAACTCGCACACCTGCAGTCCACAGGCACACAGGGATGCCCAGCCCTGGCAGTGGGCTCAAGGGCCATTGGCTTCAAGTGTTATCCACCAGGCTCTTGCTGGCAGTAAAACAGGCGTCCGTTGTTTCAGGGCTGAAGCGTAAAGCCTTCTAGAAACTGCATACTGCCCGGGGACCTCCCAGAACTGCCAGCCCAGCTGTCTCACGTTAGCGTTTGAGACCTAGACAGGTGAAGGGACTTTCTTGGGGTCACATAGCCTGGCACCCGTATTCGCTGTGAAATGAGAAGCTTACTGTTTGCCGCTCTGAGGAATCTATGAGAGGAAATGTGTTGGTGGTCTTTAAGCCCCACAGGGCAACTACCGCCCGCAGAGCACTGGCTGTGGAGCATGCTTGTAAGCTGAGTGTCCGGAAGGGCGTAGTTCACAGTGCACCTGGGCAGGTGCAGAGGGTTGTTTGAGGTTAACTGTATGGCAGAAAGGCTCAGTTTACATAAAACCTCTTAGTTTTAAGGAGGATGGAATAATGAGAGTTTCCAGCCTCCAAGTATGAGAACACAATGAAGACCGTTTGATTTATCTGCTCAGGAGAAAAGAGATCAGACTGCTGCCCTCCCACTCCCACCCCAAATGAAAACAGCTTTTCTGATTTTGCAGGATGAACCGCCGCTACTGGCCGAGGCTGGAGGCTGGCAGGCCTGGAGCGTGCTGCACTGCATGTAGCACGGAATACCAGCACACGCAGGGGGTTTAAGTGGAAGTGCACACCTAAGTTATGCATTGGGGACAGAAGTTTATGCCACTGAGGTTCACACTGCACATTGCCCTGCAACGCTTTCTGGAAATAGAAATGTAAAAGATTTACTGAGTGCACATCAACAATCGAAGTCTATATCTTATTTCACTGAATGGGGGTGGGGGTGGGCGGGTTTCGGGGTGGCTGCAGAGTAGACCAGTCCGTGCAGCGGCGTCAAGATATATTTAATTGCCCCTTCCAAGATTTATCACCTCCCAGGAATCAGCTAGTCTGCAGCCACAGGACACAGGTGCTGGGCAGCGCCTTCCATAACCAGACACGAAGCCGTAGTGACACAGTGAGACAAGAGCACCTCCGATTGGCTGGTCCATGGTGGGCGTGCCCTTTGTGAGGAGCTGCGACTGAGTTCTAGAGCAGGAAGTGCGTTGTCATAGAAATAGGCCTTCTGCCTCAATCCTTGGTGCGGGGAATAAAGGAAAAACAGTCCAAGGCTCCGGAGGGCTGGAGCTGTGGGATCTGGGCATAAACACGGGGAATGGAGAGGACACTGGTTTGGGCGAAGACCATGTGGGAAGAGCTCTGGGCTGCAGATCCGCAGGTGTCTTGAGAACTGCTCTGCTCTTTTATATTTCAACTGTCAACGAAGAAAGTTACTTTTCCCACTCGAATGTACTTAATACCAATGAGCTCTTTCGCTTAAAATGGTTAAACGGTAAACGCTATGCTATGTGTATTTCATCATAATACAAAGAAACAAGCAGCAGAGTTACTCTCTACTGAGTGGGCCGTGGAATCTCTGTTGAAGAAGCGCACCTCATCACTGATACATCACAGCCAGAGTGTCAGCCACCTGCTTCAAAAGGAGGAAGCGGTGGGGCTGCAGAGACCCCGTCCTGGCAGCACCATGAACCGTCTCAGGACAGGCAGGAAAACCCAGGCTTTGCTGCTTTGTTGTTTCTCAAAATGAAGGCCAAGCATGGGACCCTCTGTGGACACATCCACGCCAGGGTTGATACAAATGTTCACAGTGCTTTCGTCTGTCGTCAGGCTGGGACAAAGTGGGGGCAAGAGGAGGATCTGCACAAATGTGAGCCTGACCGCCTCTTCAAGTTTTGTGCACAAGGTGTCTTGCTTCTCTCACCCTAGTCTGGGTCCTGCTAAGTCAGAACCTGAGAGCCACCCAAATGTCCATCAGCAGGTGGGTGGACAGAGAAACTGTCGTGTATCCATACAATGAAATACTGTTCAGTGCTCGCTTCAGCAGCACATATACTAATGTTGGAACAACACAGAAAAGATCAGCATGGCCCCTGACCAAGGAAGACATGCCGATTTGTGAAGCGTTCTGTATTTGTAGTGTAGAGCATGGTGCCTAGAGTTCATAATACTGTATGGTGTACTGGAAGCCTTCTAAAGGATCTTCCAGGTTCTCACCACAAGGAAAATAACTGAGGTGATGGATGGCTTAGTGTGGTGAACATTTTGCAATACAGACATAGATCAAATCGCTATGTGGTGCCACGGAAATTAATGTTTGTCAACTGTATCTCAATTAAAAAATAAATAATATTCAGAAATAAAGGATTCTTGCAACATGGATAAATCTCAAATTATTTTGATTGAAATGAGTACATACTGTAAGATTCCATTTACATATAATAGAAAATACAGTGTGATCTATAATGACAAAAAGACCAGTGGTTGCCAGGGAATTGGGGAGCAGGTAGAGGGGAAGAAGCAGAAAAGGGGACAAGGGAGTGTTCGGGGTGATCAGTCATGTTCCCGCCCTGACTGTACTGGTTTCGTCTGTACACATGTATCAGAAATGATCGGACTTCACCTTTTAAGATATGCCATTCACTGTAGTCAATTGTGCCTCGAAGTTAAAAACAAAATGAGGCACAATAAAAATTTAAGACATGAATTCTTACTGGATACTGATTGGGAAAATAAATTTTAGGGACAATGGGGACTATTTGAATATAGGCTATCAAATATATTAGGAGATACTGGTACTTTTCTTAGGCATAATAATGGTACTGTGGAAATGCAAGAAAATGTCAGTGGTCTTAGAAGATTCATAATGAAATATTTAGGAGTAAAATATGATGTCTTCAAGTTTATTTCAAATAGTTTGGAAAAAAATTGGTAAAAACAAATATGACAAAATATTAAGACTATTGAATCTACCTACTCAGTAAACAGGAGTTCATTATACTACTCTTTCAACTATTTTTGACATATTTGATAATTTTATTATTAAAAAGTTGGAAAAATTACCAAGCAAATGAAAAATAATTTAATTACAAAATATAAAAAAATTGAATTATGAAACTGAATGGACAGGCTTAATTGAAGACAAAGCAGTAGGTAAAATTGGTAAATTGCAAAATAAATCTAAAAAATTATCCAGAATGCAGTACAGAGAGAAAAAGAGAAACCATGAAAGAAACAAAACATGGAGAATGAGATGCCCTACCATAAATGTGGTTGGAATTCAAGGAGAAAGAATGGCGCTATGGCCATATTTTAGAAGACATTCCCCCAAATTCCTAATGGACCCCTGACAGTATAAATGAAAGAATCCACACCTAGGCACACCATGATGAATCTGCAAGACACTGATGACTGAGAGGAGGTCCCAAAAGTTTCCACTGAAAAATATGACCACCAAAATAACAAAGACTGATTGATTCTTCATCACCCACAACCGAAGGCAAGCCAAAAATAGCATATTTTCAGTGGAATGAAATAATTGTCAACCTAGAAGTAATTTAATTAAAGAAAAAGTATTTAAGAATGAGTGTAATATAAAGATATTTTCAGGTAAACAAAACAGAATGTTTTCAATTAGTCACTAAATGAAATTGTAAAGCTTCTATGAGACAGAAAGAGAGCAGGAGGAAGTCAGAGACATAAGGAACGTAGAAGATAAAAATAATGGAACATATTGGTATATTTAGACAAGTTAGAGTACTAAATAAAGTATCTTCTGAAGTTTAAAAGCAGAATTAAACAGTATATGAATTAAAAGGATAAAAATATTAACATTCTATTTTTGTATCATCTTTAAGTATGTAGGTACGCCTTGCAGAATATACTATATAATTTTCAAACTAGTGAAGGGGAAAAAGTAGAATGAGGAAAAGAAATCAACCCAAAAGAAGGCAAGAAAGTAGAGAAAAGTAAACATAGATTCCTTGGAACAAATGGAAAGCAAAAAATAAGATAATATATACAAATATTCTTCACACTAAAAAGAAACCCAAAAAACCAACGACAAGTATGAGAATATGCATAGCATGTGAATAAAAACCAACCCAAAAACACCTCAGTATGACCCGAAAGTCCATCAACAATGAGTTGAATCCTGCAGGGGTGTCAAAACTTTTGGCGTCTCTGGGCCACACATTAAAAACACAAACATTAATGAAAACTGATGAACAAAAAAAAGTTTTAAATTTATGGTTTTGTGTTGGGCCGTGTTCATAGCCATCCTGGGCTGCATGCAGCCTGTGAACCCCCGATAGAGCAGTCTTACAATGAAATGCTATACAACGGTGAAAATGAATGAATTACACCTCTATGCATCAGCATCAATAAATCTCACAAGCATAATATTGACTGAAGATGCAAGACACAGAAGAATTCGGAAGAACTTTAAGAAAAATTGCAAAATGGGACCAATACTTCATTTATTTAAAGACATCTAAATAAAATGTACAGCTACAAAGTCAAGGGGACGGTGCTCACTGTACCAGGAGAGCAAGTACTTCTGGGAGGGGGATGTACCCTGTGTGGTTCTGGGGAGCATATGTTTTATGTTCCATATAGCCATCTACTTTAAAACAAAAAGTAAACTGCAGCTCTCTATGGAATTCAGAGAAATCTAGGAGGCTACATCTAGGAAACCAGTGTACATACAGCCTACCAGGACTGAATCATGAGTAAGGAGAAAACTGGAACAGACCAATAATGAGTAAAAAAATTGAAACAATAATTGAAAACTTCCCATCAAATGGAAGTCTAGGACCAGATGATTTCACTAGTGAATTCTACCAAACATTTAAAGAAGTAACACAAGCCTTCTCAAAACAAAGTCTTCCAAAAAATTGGAGAGAGGAAGCATTCACAAACTCATTTTTGGAGGCCAGAACCATCCTGGTACCAAACCCAGATAAGGACACTAAAATAAAACTACGGGCCAATAATATCCCCGATGAATATATATACACATATGTGTACATCCTTACATTTTCAGAAAAACACAAAATGATGCAAATTAATAAATGTGATATGCCACATCAATACAATGAAAATGTAGAAATCATATTTTCATTTTGATGCAGAAAAAGCATTTGACAAAATTCAACATCCTTTCAAGCAATGTGGTATAGAAAAAAGTCTCTACACAATAAAGGCCACATTATGACACACCCACAGCGCACATCGCACTCAGCCGTGCAAGGCTCCAAGCTTGCCTGCCGCCATCAGGAGCAAGAGGAGCGGCCCACCCTCGCCTCCCCTAGTCAGCACTGCACGGCGTCCTAGCCCCAGCAATTCGGCAAGAAAAAGAAACCAAAGGCATCCCCGTCGGAAGGGAAGGAGAATTCTCTCCGCTGGTGGCATATTTGCTGGGTGTGACTGTGGTCAAAAACAACAGGGATACGGTGAGAGGGACACAGGTGCGTCTTAGGGGTTGGAGTCCTGTGGGCACGTCTGCTTCTGGGCTCGGACGCCTGGAGGTCAATCCTCCACTGTAGCTACACAGGGCTTGGTTTCATTCGGGTGCGGCCTTTGCATCCTCTGCTCTTTCCTCCTTTATCCTCATGTAATCGTGTGACTCGGAGATAAATTGCTTCCAATTGTCTTTGGAACAAAATAAGGAAGACAGTTACAGACGGGCAGTCGCCGCCCCCGCTGACCTGTAAGTGGCCAGGGATGCGCGTCCGGAAGTCCTGTCATATTGTCTACAGCTTTATCCCCCAGATTCCTGCTTTGATGCAAGTGGGTGTAGAGGATGCCAGGGAAGATGTGGTGTGAGTCCCGAGACCTGGATTTGCTTACAGCCCGCGTCGCCTGAATTAGTTCTTTGAACCTCAGCATTACTATCTGTGAAACGGTCCTTTACAGGATGGTATAAGATTTAGCCCCAGCAGATGTAATTATTAAATCCCACTGGCCGGCGCCCCCCCCCCTCCTCCGCTTTCCGTGACCAGGGGCCGGTCCGGTGGAGGGCAGCTTTCTCCGGACCAGGTGGCGGAGGCTGCGGACCCCTGCCCGTGGCCAGGCCTGGCTGCGGTTGGGTATAAGGGCTGAGCTGCTTTTATTTAGGATGCGGTTATCTGCCCAGCGATTCCAGGAACTGGACCAGCCTATGAAAACACAAGCGGAGCTCTATAAAGCACCTGGCAGATGAGATCCTCGGCTAATTTCAGACTTTTCCTCCGTTACCTGTGGCCTTCGCCTGGGCAGTCCTTTCTTACCATCTGCTACAGTGCAGCCGCGCCCTAGGGCTGAGCTCAGAGAGCGTCTCTGCCGTTTTTCCGTTCTTGCTCTCCTCGCGGTTCTGCCGGGCTCGGCAAGCCTCCGGTGTGGTGGTCGTCCTCCTTGTGTCCTTCTTGCCCGCCGTCCCAGGCGCCCTCTACTTCCTCGCAAGGCCTTGCGCGCAGTCAGCGATCGCTGCTTGCCGCGCGACCTCGACGCCGAGGCCGCCGGTCTCGTCTCTCGGGACCCGCTCAGCCAGTGAGCGGTCCTCCTCCGCCTCCGATACGCCGGGCCTTGTTCGCGCCAGAGCTTCGCGGGAGTTCAGGCGGGCGAGAGGCCCCCGTGGACTGGCCATATTCCGCGGACGGCAGGCGCGCGGGGGCTGGGTGGGTCCCCTCCGTCAGGCCCCGGCTTCGCACAGGGAGCGCCCTCCCAGGCCGTCCTGACACCGCGCTGCGCGGCAAGGCCCCCGGGGTGGGGTTCTGCCACGCCCCGCTGCCCACCTGGGGAGCTCCGTCAGCACCTGCCCGTTAAACGGGCACCTTTCCTCCTTACCGCCCCGATGGTTGTCCCAGCGGGGCGACCGGTCCGGCCACACGTCGGGAGGCTCCTCCAGGCGATGCCGGCCGTCGGGGCCCGGGCCGCCAGGGGACGCCGCTCGCCCGCCCAGCGCGCCCGGCCCGAGGACGGAGCGCGCATGCGCAGGGCGCCCCTCCCCCTCCCCCACCCCGCGCCCGCGCCCGCGCCCAACGACCCCAACGCGGCCCGCCGAGCCATGGAACCCACGGCAGTGGGCGCGGTTCCGGCGCTGCCGTTCCTTCGCTCGGGAGCCTTTCCCCCGTGAGGCCCGCGGGCGCTCGGCCGGGCT